ATTGATTTTTATTGGGTGTGGACTAAGGCTGTAACATTTACCAAATGTTATGAATGTATATATGGAATACAATAATGAAACCACTATTTAATCAGACTTATCTGAAACTGAATGTCTAAATCATTTACCCAGCTACTGATTTTGGAAACATTTGTAGACACTGAATTATACTAAGCCATTTACACATGTAAGCACTGCAGCCTTGGTAAGGAATGTAAGAATAACTTACAAAAAATGACTGCAGTATTCACTATTTAGTTTTTATAATATTCTTTTCATCCCTTTGGTCTGATATTAGGACGAAATGTTAATAAAAACTTTGGCTTTTGGAAGCATAAAATACCCCATCTGGGAGAAATGAGGAAAAAATTTAATTTCAATAATCACACAACTTGTTCAGTTGTTGACAGAGTTGCCTTTTATTGTACCCAGCTAATAGAGAAATCATCAGTTTAGTCCAAAAATATATATGTCTCAAGTTTAGGAGGGCATTTAAATTATACTTCCATAAATGCGCTTCACAGTTTGTATCCACAGAGCTCAACAAATCCACTTGCCCAATGCCTGGGACAAGTTTAAGTTTGGTACAGGCAAGCTCAAGTTTTGAATGTACTTGATAAAAATAACAAGAAAACAAGTTCTTTATTTGCAAAAAAGGTATATAATTTCCTTATAAAATCCTATATTTTATTTTGCATATTGTTTTGACTTTAGTTGTGATATTATACTTTAACATTTTTGGGGCATGCTCAAATCTCCAAAGAGCAAGATAAATATTCCAGTTAGCTTAAGCTGCTCCTTCTATAAAATTTGTAAAGCCTTGGGAACCATGTCTAGATTGGATTACATTTAAGTATGATATTGCTAAAATACTGGTTGAAAATTAGTCAATTCTTTGAAATATTTTCAATTTTCAATAGCCTTTTCAAAGCCGAGACTCATGTCCATTTTGACTGAAGGTGATTAGTTTTTCTAATAATCCATTGTCATATAAAACCTAGTTACTATAGAGATCTTACACTGATATCTAGTTTTTTCCAAAGAGAGAATTGGTCTTTGCATACAGAATGGACCATTTTCATATAGGATACATGTCTAAGTGATAATTTAGCAAACTGGGTCTTTCCTATATCAGTCTTCTCATACAAATAATGGACACATCCAGCATGAAGTTTGTAAGATTACCAAGAGGTAGATTGGGTTCCAATATAATGGTTTGGGATTATCATTAGAAATGGTTATCACTTCAGATGGAAATGCAGACAACAGTGTTGTAGTGAGATACAATTTCTCAGAAAATGTAAATGATTCAAAAGAACTGAATAATTTTCATCAATATTTTATGCTTTTAATTTAGTCCCATCCAGATAATGCTGCAAGCTACAAATGATCCATGAATATACTGTTGATACATTGGAACATCCCAAGCAAAAATCAATGGTTCTGTCACAATTTAATATATCAGGTTGCGAAATGGATGAATTAATTTTACATTGTAACCCAAATTGCTCCAAAACCAATTTTCCCTGGTAAAATATGTTTCTTTGAGAATACTTACCCAATCATAATGTCTTAGGAGAATTACTACTCCCTCACAAATCCAGCCCTGCCATATACTACTTTTAGTTAAAGGGAACTAAAAGTTGTCTTCCAACTTAGTAACAGTCAGGCAGAGTGATCTCCCCTTAATGATAAGGCTTAGCGGCCAAACCAGTGAACCTAGCATTTACTAGTAAAGCACAAGGCATGCTTTCTATGGATGTACCTGGGGGAGGCTGTGAGGGTGTATGTGTATTATGATTTTGTAATTTCTTGACGAAACATTTAATTATGAAAAATTGTTTTTTTCTTGAAAAACATTACACAATCATACTACTTCAGAAAAACATGTAAGAGGTGGATGGAGGTTGCCACAGAGATACCATCTCTGGTTCCCTGAAGTATGTGTGACTGATTCTAGGCAACCCAAGAGGATGGGACTCCATCTGTTGGGGAATTCATGAAGCTGTGTCTTAAGAAGCTGTCCATCAAACTTTAAAAGTGACCTGTTGAGCTGTGGATAAATGTCCTACCACATCAAACTGGTCACTTTGGGTGACAAATCTTGGAGGTAAAAGCTAGAGAGCTCTGATCTCCATCCCATGGCTTAAATGATGTTGGAAGAGTTGAATGCTATGTTGGTGGCAAATGCTCTATCCCTGTGAGATGAAATGCATAATAAGTTCATTTGAACTTGGTCATTTCTCAATATGAAGAGTGAATAACCCACATAATCAAGGATGAGATAGCCTGCATGATATATCCTCCTGTTTTTTCTTGAGAGGTAAAAATAGCCATAATCTCCATCTATGCAGTGGCTCTGTTGTATTAAGGTACCACTTCAAATCCCAAGCATGGTCTTGTAGGTGGCCTTCAGCTGATGTTCTTGATTAGACAGGTTTCATGATTGAAGTCTTGCCTGTGAAAGAAAGCCTGTTCTTGGCAATGAAAGATGAAACTGTAATGAGTAACAATGACACTTCTGGTTGGAACTGCATGTAATTCAAGTCTGCTGATTAGGCATGAAGTTTGCTAATTCTGCCTGCAGTTGCTAATTGCATCAGGAAGCAGGCCTTGTATGAAAGTTGTGCCAGAAATATGGGTGTCTTGTTCAGCCAGATTAATACCTAAGATAGGTTCCACTGGGAGCACAGGGCTAATGTTTTTATCCATATATGCTCAAAGTTGGAGAGAAGGTTGGATAAACCCTTGTTTTGTCAAATATACTCTCTTCTGTGATAATGAAAGGTGTTAGTGATTATGGAATGGTAACCTTTTATTGTACTCTGCTCTAACTTTTTCTCTTCAAAGAAGAAATTAGCTATTTGTGCTATAAATACCTGGAGAAGTAGGATGTGTTCATTTGTGCACATATGGGCAAAAACATGCCATTTGCCTTCACATGATTTCAGAGTGCAGTGCCTTCATGCTTGACCAGTTCTCTCCATGACTGGTTGTGGGAATCATTTATTTCTGATTGCCTTTTTAATATGATCTAGATGTGCTGGTTCAGTCACTTCAGGCAGGGATGAAACAACTACCATCTTGGTTTTTTGAGTAGAAGAGGGGTGCCAAGGTAAAGAAAACTCACCTGTATGTACCAGTAATGGCAGAATGTTACATATATAAGGAGTTTTTTAAAGACATGCATGCATATAAAAATACTATAGCCTATCTAGCAAATTTACACAGCCTACCTGTGCATGTGACACTCTTAAGAATGATGGACTGTCTATGTAGATAAACATCACAACAATTTTGGGGTATTTAAAGAAGAAATTGTAATTTAAATCAGATTTATTAGAACATAAAGCATTATGAACTCAACACTACATTTCTCTCTCATTTCTGCTGACCTTCTTCATGAGACCCGAAAATTCTTCCTTATGAGCATATCTCTGAAACACCCATATCACAGCTTGAATAAACCAGGAGCCATACAAGATGTTCCTCAGGGAAATGAATCCTGAATGTACAAGAGTGTTAAAATATTCATAAAATTCCATTTCATGTTATCTTAGTTAATGAGACAATATAAATAACCCAACTTGTATATAAAAGTAAAGATTCTATTAAAGTGCTTTATAATGGCAAGTGACCCCCAAATTGGCATCTTTCTTCAAATTGTACATGTACATGTATATCCTAAAGATGTATACTATGCCATATTTATAATGAATGTGGCTTCCATTGAGTAGGTATAGTATCATGGACAAAACAAATGCCACCTGTCAGGCAAGGTATTAGTATACTAAATTGCAGCATTTCAATTATGGATCAGCAAAACACCTTTTTACCCACTTTCCTGTTTCTTTTTCAAAAGTACTGGAGAGTAATGCACAGAAGTGCAGAACAATAAAGATAACGAACATCCACTAATTAAATAGGAAACTTGACAAACATAAAAAAAACATTACTGGACAAGCCAAATAAGCAAAGTGACATGGAGAGGGGTTTGAGACTTTGTTTGCTATAGGTATTTCATATATAATCTATTTTGCGATTGATCATGAAGAAATAACATATTTGACTAAGTTTAATTCTTTATTGAAACACTCAAAACAGAATCTGAATCCTGGGACTTTACCTTTGGTCTCAGACTCCTCCTGATATTTTAACAACACATTTGTTTGAATACTCTAGACAGAACCTGAACCCTACAATAGTACATTGCCTTTGGTCTCAAATTACTTCCTCATGTTCAAATGTTTGTTGGAAGATTCTAGTCATAATCTGAACTATACGGCAGTAAACTATCTTTGGTCTCATGTTCTTTCCTTGTGTTCAAACAGCAGATCAAAAATGTTTCTTGGAATACTCAATAGAAAATACAAAATCTGAATACTGCAGAAGGAAACAGCCTTTCATCTCAAATTCATATTTTATATTCCAACAATAGTTCAAATGCTTGTTTGAATGCTCTAGACAGAATGTGAACCCTGTAGCAGGGCATATGTTTTGGTCTCAAAATCTTTCCTTCGGTTCTAACAATGTCTGAACTAAGTAAAACTATGAACTGATCTCTATATTCTATAAATGTTGAAACCTGGGAAAAGATGAATTACATCTTGGCTTTATTTGATTAAAGGATATTATCTTTGAGGAATGTGCATAAACAAAGAATATACTTAAAAGATCAATTTGACTAAAGAATGTACCTGGATGTGTAGCTGAGGCAAACAACATATCCCGCATCGTTGCAATTCTGTTCTCACTGGATTCTATGCTGGCATCAGGTTCATCAAGGCGCATACCCTTCATGCTGTCCATGACATCTGAAGTATCTGATCTGGTGCTTGTTGCTCCTCCTAAATCTCTATCCTCTTGTAACACAAAGGTAGAAAACAAGAAATTATTTGGGTTGTTCCAATAAAACATATACTGTACTTTGGGAAGTCACTTGTTAAAAAACATATGGTAAGATACCCTGATTACTTAGAGATTTCATATGAAAATGAACCGCTTCGGTGGCCTAGTGGTTTAATTTTCTGGCTTGGATGCAGGAGGTCATGGGTTCGATCCCCGGTCGAGTCATATCAAAGACTTACAAAAATGGTACTAACAGCAGCCTTGCTTGATGCTCAGCATTAAGAGGTTAGTGTTAGGACTGGATGGAATGGTACCAGGATAATGTGACTGGGTGGGACATCATGCTACATGTCTGTGGCATGATGCCCCAGTGCTAGACATCACTACTATAAACTTCCACACTGCAGACATCATAGCGATATGACTGACAAATTGTTAAAGCTACAATTAAAATCATAATCACATCACATATGAAAATGATACAAGATCTTAAATGCTTTTATGGGTGACTAGGAACTCCAAATTAAAGGTGCATTCTTGGGTCCAAAGTATATTTTACTGAATCAGCCTTAAGGATTAATTAATGATGATTTAATAACTAGTATATATCTGGAGATTCAAAATATGTTATATATGAAGAAATTCTTACATCACTGTGCATTCTGTTACACTAGATAAATTTAAATATCCAAAAATGTATGTTATAAGCTCTGAAGAAAAATGCTGGAGATTGAAAGAAATGCTGGTGAATTTTCCAACACTAGATGCCAACCTCCAATCCTTTACTATGTCAAATTATTCATCTTTCCAGCAACCACTTGTGAAAAAGTAAGATAAAGCAAAGGCTAATTTAAAGAAGAAAAAGGTATGGGAAATTGTCGTTTTGTTATTTTTAAATAGTAAAAATGTATGAAAAATGACTGAAAAAGAAAATATCATCTCGGCTTACCTTTGTAAACTGGAACAATGGTATGCTCTTACATACCAATTATCTCTATATACCAGTTTGCTATCTTAAGTTATATGTCCTCATTTTGTTAATTACATAATGAAATTTGGTGTCATGACTTCAAATGAGCACAACTGAAACTAAAAGTTGTAATTATTTGCAACTGATAAGTAAACATAGACTATTGTTATTACAAAAAGGTAAAAAACATTGAATCAACTGCCAATCAGTTTGTCAGTCCCAAATATCACCAAAATTGACAAGGTACAAAAGATTCACATTTAGTTTTGATTGTCCCCTTAAAAGATGTAGTTTAAATTGAGGTTACTCATCTACAACAAGGGTAACCACTATCATGGTTTGAATAGATGACCACTAAGATTTGAATAGATGACCACAATGATGTAAAGTCCTCTGTGTGTGCTCTCATTATAGGGCTCGTTTAAAAATATCTTTACAACATTTGGATTGCCATGTTTTAATGCTATGTTGGAAAAAAGTTTTAGATTGCTTGTGCTAGTGGCAGTTGATTAAATATTTGTACCTATTCATAATTATATTATTTTTTTAATCCCATCAGATTTAATTAATTACAACATATAATCTTGGCAGTGCTTTATCTGAAGTCATACAACCTAAATACATAGTGAAATTACTAAAAGAGGCAAATAACTCCTAACACCCTGCTACACATACACCTGAGACATTATATCACAATGTGCAGGGATGGTGGGACCATTTTTAAAAAAGTAGGGGAAAATTCAGTCTCTAAAAAAGTATTTAAAAAATAGGAAAAGCAGAAAAAACAAGGGTCACAAGAAGGGAAGGACTCAATTCTAAAGTGCAAGTATATTTTTATTTACAAAGACAATAAATAATCTGATATAGAAAATGAGCTTTATATCAATCATTTCAACATAAATTGAATATTAACTCATTAATCCCAAGCGCTGTGTTTACGGGGCAGGAGGTGGTAGCCTACTTCTGAGCTCTGTAGCATTAAGCTATATGCAACACAATAAAGTGGGTGGTATTATAGAAAGGTAGACAGATGTAGCTTTACAATGATACCAAATAATATGGATGTTCTAGTTGCACTACAAAATACAGAGGGAAAAACGTCACTTTTTGGACCTGAATTGCACACAGACATATGAACCTTTGCAAAAATTAGGATAAGATGGACATTTAGAATGTAGAGTGGTCTCCACATGAAAATGACGGGTCCGTTTAGCAAAAAAAAGTCAGTGTTTACCCTTCTGCTCATGTTCAGGTGAAAGAGCAAATGAAAATCGACATTTCTAACAAAAATAGCCATCAAGTAACCCGTAAATGTCTTCCAATTCGATGTATTATAATGATTTAAAAATAATTCCCAAAATTGATATCCTACTCGCATTACAGGCGAAAACAACAAAAATCTCCAGGGGTTAATGGGTTAAAAAAACAGGGATAGAAGAGTTTGGAAAAAGGAGGGGAAAATAGGGAGGCTGACAAAAAATGTAGAAAATGCCAGGGCCTCATGAACAAATAAATTTTAAGACATTCAAAACATCCAATAAGAAATTGAACTTTGATGATTCTCATATGAAGACCAATTGTTCTGAAGCCAAACAGTCTGATAAATTGACATAAGGAGCTTGAAATATTATATACATATCAAAGTATTTTCTATACTGTAAAAAATGTTGAAGATCTTATCTCCATTGTTGGAGATTCATTAAAAGATCCCAATGGTAACAAATATAACAGAAACCATAAACATAGAAAAATAAGTGAAAATTGCTGCTGATCGCAAAGATTGTTTACAATAATTGCCAAAAAATTATTTTGAATTCCAAAGAACTTTTAATGCTAGAAGAAGTTAACATCTTTGCACAAGAGACCTAAGCTGATCTCATCTTGCTCACCTGGCATGAGATGTATACCGATTTCTAACACTGTACTGACACACACCTAAGTGAAATTCCTATGCATTTATTAAATTTATTGTCCTTTGTAAGTACTTCAAAGGAAATATTTTAAAATGCTATGCAAGTTGAAAAGACCTCCAAAGTGGAGATTAACTTGTGTAATAAAAGTCTTGATACTATTTTAGAATTTACACTGTAAAAATACCACAGGCAAAAAATATTAATTTTTTTCAAAATACCAGTATTGAAATCCTGCTAAAGAATTACTTTAAACATGCTATTTCACTTTAGATTTATTCTTATAAACAGAAAGTTTTCTTAAAAAGGATTCCTGCATGCTGCAAATATCCTACTGATTTCCAAATATGGTTGTTTTTTTTAAATTGTGTTTTATTAGGCTGCTGATTCCATGCTATAAATTGATACACACGATTCAGACAATGGCTCTCCTGCTTGAAGTCTCAAAGGTGTACAAATTGGATTGCCTGATGCCCTGGACTAGTAAATTTTCTATTGACAAGTGCCTAACAGTGTGAGTTTAGTAGAAGGCAAGTGCAGTTTTTTCAAAATGAGATTCCTGATTACAGTCATCTGACTGACACACGACCTGTCTCACCAGTACTATCCTTGTCTGGAACAGTTGTTTTCCTCTTAACCATGTTATTATTAGCACAACATCCTGAATTGACTATTGTGTCAAATTCTATGGCATGCTGAAATGAGACATTCCTAACAACAGTGTAAAACACATTCACAGAGAATGGCATTATTGATATAAATTGGAATAAAATGTTTCACCAAAGTAAATCAGTCAAGAAATAATTAGTACACTGCAATAAGTATTTGGGAATCAGTATTTTATCAAAAGTTTGTCATGGGATACTCAATGCAAATATTCTGTAGGTATGCAACTCAATGCAAATATTATGTAGGTATGGTAAAATCAGCTCAATAATTTGCATCCAGTTTTGCAACATATTCAAACACATTCTTGTATGTGAGCAAAAACGTTCAATGAGTTCAAACAGGTTTAGATGCTTCAGTTTGTTCCATAATTAATTTAGACAAATTAGACAAATAGAAAGAAAGAACATTTTATCCCGCTAAAATATCTAAGTAGAAATGTATGAAATGCCCAATTCTGTTGAAAACATGCTAAAATATTTTTAAATAGGACTGTGTTTGTAAAACACATATGACTCTGCTGAAGACAAATACTTTAAGCATTATCTAAAAAGTCTGAAGATATGATGCAACAGTAAGTTACCTCCCCTTGGTATGCTAACACCACAGGTACAAAGCTATAAAGCTGGTGGTACATGAAGGAAGCCATATGCATAAACTGATAAGTACATCACACTTAATTCAGACTGCAACATTTTTCTACAATGGCTATAATGCAGAATGTGACAATTTTGCCTAAATTAGAGAGCGTCGGGAATCTTTTATATGCAGTGAAGTACAAAACTGATGACATTACAAGGTAACAGGTGGCAGATATCACAATAATGATGTCATAATGAAGCGCATATGAGCCACCATACACAGCCTAGTTTATCTCCCTCATTTCTGATTGGATTTAAATTTGTGATAAGTGAGATAGGATCCAGTTTGTGCTCATGAACTAATATTCTGATACAATGGACTAAAATTTAAATTACCTAGATGTCTTATGATAGTGGTATACTCTGAAGGTGTATGAGCTTTATTGAGCACAGTATAACCAGTCAGGCTAAAACCCTCTCAGTGTCTGTTAGTCAAATGCACATCTATAAATTCATGTTACTGAGCTGAATTCAAACCTGGAACAATGAGATGTACAAAATTAATAAAGATTTTTAGGACGATGCCCCATGTGGTCATGTTTTTCATATCCGAGTGGGTCATTAACTGCATATTTTTTTGCACCACTGGCAAAAAAGTCCACACAACCTACAATGAATTCTGATGAAACCACCAGGCTGACTCTTTCCTTTAAGTTGATCAATACTCTTGGCTTGGTACTGGGGTGAAACATGACCAATATCAAACATCTAAAATAAAACTGAGAGTTGTAAAGGATACCATCAATAAAGTCAATATACATTGAGTTTAAGCTTCTGGGGAATACCATTATTTGCACAGAATTTTCACAAGTCTTATCCAGCATATTATCAATTTTAAACAGTATATTACAAATTAATTTTTGCATTAACTAAAGATCTTCAATTCTATGTTTTTGACAATAAGTACTTTTGGACTACATGTAAGTAATATACATCTGTATCATTAAAATATATAATTACACTCTCAGCAAACATACAATATATGCACCCAGCAAAATTTATAGACTACTATTATAAAGTCAATGGAATATTTTTCAG